GTGTATATATTTTAGAGTTATCCAATTATACACCTAAGAAAGCAAGTACTTATCCTAACTTTGCAGTCTACTAGGAAAAAGAGGTGCACTGATATATCGGTTTGATATCAGATCAGCACCGACATAAAGAAAATTGATTGTATAGGAAACTGGCCTGATGTGGCTGATAATTTGGCTGATAAATGCCTGTGTGTGCACGCAGCTGTAGTGTAGTGTGTAGGCAGTGAGGAGCACAGCTCAGCAGTTTGGAGAGCTGCGTGCAGCTGGTAAGTCTGGTGTGGGGGGAGAGGAAGGAGGCGGCAAGAGAAGGGATGTGGTGGGGCAGATCAAGGCCCCTGTGGTGAGGGAGGAGTGGAGCTGGGGCAAGTGCTGCCCAGCCAGGGTGGCGCAGGTATGGGACAGAGCCACCGCTTATCTGGGAGGGCATGGATGGGGTGGGGGGGGAGGGCCTCAAGACCTGTGGGACAGGCTAGGACTGGGGCTGCGTGGGGCTCTTCCTGGTTGTCTCTCTGCAGATCTGAGGGCACATGCTCTCCCCCACCATACCCTCCCAGATGAGCAGCGGGAGTAGTGGCGGGAGCCACCAGACAAGCGGGCGAGTGCTGGACCAGCAGCTCTTGGACGAGTGACATGCAGTAGTGGGAGCTGTCCTCCTCCCAACGCTTCTCCTCCCTCCCCTCGGATGAGCTGCAGTTCTATCCCGCAACTGGTCTGCCCGGGCTGGACAGCACTTGCCCCAGCCCAACTCCTCCTTCACCTCAGGGGCCTTGATCTGCCCCACCAGAACTCCTTCCTTCTCCCCTCCCCTTCCACCACACCAGATTTACCAGCTGCATGCAGCTCTCCAAGCTGCTGGGCTGGTATCAGATCAGTATCGGCCGATATGCCTCCTTAAAAACTGGCTATTGGTATCGGTCCCAAAAATCTCTATTGGTGCACCCCTAGTATTAATTCCACTAGATGAAGGACGCCATCTTAAAAAGAAAATTCTAAAAGCATATTTAAAACATTCTCATTTTGTTTTACAGATTAATGACTTAGTCAACCATGCATATTTTTAACTGGACATCATCATCATCATCATTATTATTATTATTATTAACTGAATTCACTTCATAATTTCACTTCACTAGTCTAAGACAAGGGTGCTAAACTCCTGGTTCGTGGGCTACATTGGCCCATAGTACTGTGTCATCCAGCCAACAGGGCTCTCCACAGGTCTGGAAGTTTGGAAGCAGGGGAGCAGTAGCACTGCTATGTTGCTGCCTAGTTTCTTGACCGTGAAAAACCCCAGGCCCTGTGGGCTGGATGTGGCATCCTATCCTAGTGTGCAGGGCTAGGCCCCTGGGATCCAATCCCAGTAAGTGGGGGATGGCTTCAACCCCCTGGGATCCAAATCCAGCACACAGAAGGTAAGAGCAGGCTGCGCTGGGCCCCAGTGACAATCCAGCCTGCAGACCATCCCTGTGCCACTCAGTTAGCTGACAGGGCCAAAAGGTTGCACACCACAGGTCTAAGACGTGTTACTTTGATTAGCTCCAGATCTCTTGCTAAAATTTGCCTGTATCTCTAGCAGTTTCTTCTCTTCCTATAATGTTCTTCTTATGAGGGAACGAGATAGTACATGTATGTAATGATAAAGTAACCAAGTTATTTAGTTTTTAGCAATGCTCTTCATCTAGGCTCATTCCTCCAATCACATCACTATTTAGGAGGACAAGGGTCTTAAAAGTGGCCAATTACTGGGTTAAAAAAAAAAAAAAAAAAAATCACAAAGAGCTTCTGGGCTTCTCATGGATTTTGAAATCTCATACTGTTCATTAGTAGAAGATACTTAATTTTACAAGCTCTGATTATTTTCTAAAGTAATTTCTAATGGGGTTAGTCACAGTGCCTCTGTTCTACACTGAGGACAAACTACTACATTCAGATTAGGTGAAATTTTAATGGATGTGTGTCTGTTGGTATTTGTAGATAGACAAAAAATTTTAGAGAAGTTCATACGAGTTCTCTAATAGCCCTAAACTTTTCAGCTGCATCTTCTGGTTCTTTTAATCTTTGGGCATCATATTTTGTATCTTTAGGGATTGACATCCATGTTTTTCAAGGCAATCATTAAGACTGTTACCACTTCTTAGAAACTAACGAATTTACCCTTTGGATTTTTTTTTTTTTTAAAGCATTGGTGCTCTTGTGTTTTCACTAGCTGCAGTTATTTTTATGAGCCTTTTATAAGCTTCTTACATAAAAAAAAGTTAATTGATTTTAAATCAATGCAAATCAAGCCCATTAGGATTCTGTCTGCCTTTTACCAGCAATTTGAGATAAAGCTACCAAACTACAACAAGCATTACAAAGCTCATCTGTCTATATGCAAACCCTTACTAGTATGGTTTCCCACACCATTTAGGATGGAGGTGGGCAATTATTTTGTCTGCAGGGCCACCTAACAAGTTTGGGTAAGCTGTCGAGGACAGAAAGGGTAACTCTGCCCCTTGACAGGTGCCCTGCCTCCTAGTAACCACCTTACGACCAGGAGTTCCGCCTCCTAACCCCTGACCTTTGCCACCAGAAGTACTCCTTTTGGGAAGGGGGTTTGCCAACTTGGAACTAGAAAGAGAACAAATGATATACTAACAATCAAACATCTACAATGACATATTTTAACATTATTTCAAAAAATATTTTTGTCCTGATTTGTGTGTTTGCATTGTATATATAGAAGTGATTGCATAATAGTTCAAAATGAAG